AGAACATTCCTAAGATTGTTTAAAAAACTAAGAATAATAGGACTGTTGTGAACTGTCCTGAATGCTATTACAGAATGGCTTTTTTCTCTCTCTCTTTCTTATGAAGTTTTAAATAGCTTTTTCCTTAATTTCATGTGTAAGAAAAGTATTTCTCAAACACAATTTTGTATTTCAAATAAAATACGTTAGAATATCCTATTTCTTTCACATAAATGAAGAGGTCCATTATTTTCTGAAAAGTGATTTCAATCGGATTCCTCTTCCAGAATATTTCTGCTCAGATGGATAAAATACACTAAAATGTTATTTAAGTATAAATTGGAATCCAGATTTCTAATTTTGCTCATGTTGAATTTCTATAATAATAAAAAAACACTGTTACCCTAAGAGGTTTTTTCCTTACAAGATTGCTAAATTTCTTTTCAAATAAGGGACTTAAGTTGTTAATGAAGGCTCGCTCTTACTTGAAATTTCACCTTATAACTAGAAATTCAAAAACAGCCTCAGACCAAAAATTAGATAACTATGAACATTTGAGATGTACATAAAAAGAAGCCAAAAAAAGCTAAGCATCATTTCAACAAATGGAACTGAATATGAATAATAATAGGAATAAAGAAAAAGAACAGAAATAAAGCCATAACCTGGGGGGGAGAGGATATCAAGATATTTATTTATGAATTAGATAGCCTGAGATTTTCCCATCATCAGATTAACTATTTTCCTTACTGTATGAGAACTGATCTAATGCACTTAATGAATCAAGAAGAAAGGAACATTTTCAAAAATACAAGCATAAACACATCAACAGCTTATTTCTTCACAGGTATGTGTATTCAATCTCCAACACATTCCCCTATCCCATTAAAAGAGAACGGCAATTTGTGGTAATACAAAAGATTTAGATCATGAAAATATACTATTTTCTGCAATAACAAGTTTTCAAATTCAATTCTTATTGTATACATGAAACAGATCCCTCTCCCTAATTTATTAGAAGCAGTTTCTCAATTGAATATTTAAATATTGATATAAATCAGTATGTTATTTCCTTTAAAGAAATAATTTAAATCCTAATACTCAGTATGGATATGGAATGTAATTCCATGTGATTTTTTGTGTTTCACTACCTCCTTTAATTCTAAACTATCTCCCCTATGTGGAATTAATGCAGCCCTGCCAAACCTCAGGTCCAGAGGAACAGCTGTTTTGATGGGTTCTGCACCAAAGGCTCTGAAGAGAGCACATGGGAATCAAAAGACTATGGTTAAATACTACATACAGGCTTCTGAACTTAACAATAAATGTTATTCTCTCAGAGTACACAGACTGAAATGGTCACAGCCATTCAATGTGAATATGTTCTGTAACTGTGGAAAATCTCAGCACACTTTTATGGTAATAACAGATGTATGCCATCTGCCCAGGTTTATGGTCCAGAAGATGTTCAATTGCTACTGTCTTATTTCAAGGAAAGTTCCTCTTACAAATCTCTATGAGAAAACTATATTATATAATAATATACATATAGTAAAATAAGCCATTTTATGTAATGGTTGCTACTAGACTCTAACTATGGAGGCCCAGGATCAAATACAAACTCATCCAATGAATTAATTGGATGACTTTAGGTGAGTCACTCTCTACCCTCCAACAGAAGAGTTATTGCAAAAAAATAGGGGAGGGAATTCAATGTCTAGCATCCTAAGCTCCTAGAGAAACGTTTCAATGTATAATAATACAACTAAATAAAAATGACAATACCTCTTTATACACTGGAATATACTACCTGAATTATTTCTATTTTCTTTTTTGGTCTTTTTTTGGCACATTTACCAAAAATGAGTCTATTAAATAATGTTCATGTTTCTCCATTATATTGTTATTCTATGAATCCCCTATTAATCATAAACTTGTAATGACAATTTAAGACCTTAATCATTTCAAGATGGACCTCTAGCTTTTCATGTGTGATGGCTAAACACAGAAATGGTTTACATAAATATGTACAAACCTAAGCTAAATAAATCTGAACATTAAAACAGGAAAAATAGTACTGGAACTGCTTTAGATTTACTTTAAAAATCTAAAACAGGTTGCAGATGAATGTTAGTTAAAATCAAAAGACGACAACTACATAATCTTCCAAGCTCTTGCAAAAATGTAGTATATTTGTATCTCCTTATATGAAAGGATTGTTATTTAGAACAAGATTTGACTATTTATACCAAATTAAATAATTTGAGAATATCATTTACTTTTTATAAATTAAGACTTAATTTTCCTTAAACTAACGTAGCAATTATTGTATTATGACTTCTATACTGTAAGCTAAAAGGACATATTGTAACATAAATCTTAAACTTTTCATTTAACTGCCCAAATTCAAATCCTACCTTTTTGTGCACTCTGACATTTTTGCCTGGCATTTTCATTAATTTTGCAACATACATAAGTGTAACTGAAATGTTACCTGATCAATATTATGTCTCTTTCATGTAACACTAGGGAGCACATTTCCCCAAAGACCACACAGCAATGCAGGAAATAAATGTGTAAAATATCAAATGTTAATGTTAACATAGCAACACTTAATGTATAACAACTGAAAAGGCTAAAACAATTCAAAATAGTCCACAGTACCACAAATTATCCACAAACCTATTTACAGAATAAAATTTGTCTGCCAAAGTAATTCACTAATTCATTTTGAAGTACCTCTTTTTACTTAAATCTTAGCTATCCAATTATTTTTCAGCCCATTATAGTAATATGACAGTGGAGGAAAAAGGTTGCATACATCCTCATCTGCCATAAATCCAACTTCTACAAGTACAGGAATGAGTGGCAAAGCGCTGAATAATTGCATGTTAAACTTACATAGAAGTAATCCAAATTTTTAATTTAAACTTAAACAAAAAGCTAATATTTTAAAAACTCTATTAGTTTTGTAAACTGAATGTTCAATTATGATCAATATAGAAATTGGAAGAACAATACCTATTGGAGGAAAAACTGTATCATTTGTTTCTATACTATTTAAATCCTAAACTTTGGAACATGTTATCTGAACCGAACACTTCACAGTCGTTGGAACAAACCAAAACCCAGCAGAAAATTAGAGGAAGTTAAGTAATAAAATCTCCTTTAAGTGAACATTGACTAAATGAATATATCCATGTTGTGTTTCAGAAAACTGTTTGGAAGTGATTTATTATTTCCTTTGTTCAGGACATTTGACTTTTCAGTCTAGACTGTAATCCAGTAATTTTTTGTTGTTTCCCTTTCTAAGTTTTAATCAGGTCTGATATTTAGTTTTTTGAGAATGGCTAGGTGCTGGCACTTGCTGTGATTTGAGAAATATGTTATTTGTTAATTCTCTCTTCTCAAGCAGCTGCAAGAATAAAAAAAATGGGATTCCACTTTGCACAACTTTGCTTTTATCTGTGTTGCTCATTTACTTTCCAATGTGTTAAAACCGTTAAAATCTTATTATTTCAAAAGTATTTTAAACAGTTTATATTTTGCAGAACGGTGGATATAGGTTGCAATTCTATAATCAGTAACTGTGAGAAGACTCAGAGACATAACTGTTACTGAATATGAGTCTTAATAAAAAGCTATCTATTACTGTGGCTCTTTGACAGTAGAATAGGTTATTGAAATCTACCTTATGACAAGTCAATCATTAAAATCTTGACTATAAGCACACACATATTAGCTGCCTTTTATCAAAAGACCTTGAAAACATTCAGATGCTACCTATCAACATAAAGATAATGTTATATGAAGATCATGCCATATTATTTAAAATGTTAAGGTTCTTATTTTGATTCTTTCTTAAAATCTGTTACTCCTTTGCACTACCTTGACCAATGTAGAATTCCCAGGTGAGACACCAGAACCAATGAAAACCAAATGGCTTAAGGTAAATATAAAAATATATATTTATATGTGTGTGTGTATTAGTTACATTCCACAACAATAACAGTTTATTTAGAACATAGATGATGGCAATAGCCTGGTCACATTGTCATTTATCCACAACTTGTACTGAGAAGAATGCAACCTCTAACTGTGATAATATAAATTTATCACAAATAGTGTTCTCTATAAAATCTCTATAAAATTCTTTATATTACAGGGTTTTTACTTCAATCTACAGGAACAGGTAAGTTGCTACATCTATATAATCTCTTATATCACCCTAAAAGCTTCAAGTTGAGAAATCACATGAGTAAGTCCCATAGCAATATTTCGGCTCTTCCAAATAGGAAGAATACCTCTCCTGTATGATTCCTTGAATTAAACAGTTGTCTGACACTAATTTCAGTTTCTTGTACTTATTAGTATAGTAGTGCTTTATAAGAAATCTAGAAAACAACCTCTATGTACAGCACCTCCAATATTAGTATCATTCTATAAACAGTTGTAGACATCTACCTGCACAGCAAAAAACTATTTTACCAGAAAAATGATGCAGATTAGACATTAAAATTATGAAGCAAGAAAACCCTATCTTTGATGACCAGGAATCTAATTTATCAGGAATGACATAATAAAGATTACAGTGACTGCATTAATCTTCCTAATCCTGGTGATAAGTAAATCATTTTTAAGAGATCAGTAATTCAAGGTGCACATCAATTCTAAAACTACTGACTTGTCCATTATTATTGCTTACTTACTGAATAGTTGATAACAATGTGTTCCAAGTGTGAGACTATTAAGTATTATCTGTGTCTGCATATTCAATGTTGGCTTATTGTGAACAAGTAACCTGCTGATGCATCCTACTTGACTGCTCCTGGTTTGCTTCTCCTGCCAGCAGAAGTGCTTAAGTAAACCTCAGAAAATTCTTCTATGGTTTGTTTAGCCATTCCCACTGACCTTAGGGACAAATGGGAATTGTTAAGCTTGTGTGCAAAATTAATAATTGTTTTCCATTAAACATGCCATAAATGATGAATAATATATTGAATAAATTAAAAATATCGTACCACAAAAGCAGCTAGACTTCTTGGTGGTGACTCCCATTCAAAACAACCATTTATAAAATAGGCAGCATTTATAATCACCATGACACAATGTTTCACACGCATAAAGTTCCTTAGAAGAAGCTAGAGGTGAGAAACAGAGCATGTGTTAGCTTCTTTTGTGCTGCTGAATATATTCTGATTGTGTTCACATTTTATCCCAGAAGGATACACTATATAAAGTAAAAGTGCTATTACTGAAGAATAAAAAAGTGCCATTACTGAAGAATAAAAAAGGAACTGTCAATAGGTATCCACAGGTTTATCAGTAATTGCAAAATATAAAAGGCTGTACCTTAGAAGAAATTACAATGCTGCTGTACTTACTAAGCTTTAATTCTGAATATGTAACCGTGCTCTAGGCACTGAAAATCAAAGATTTACTATATTAATCCAGATTTTTGAAACAAATTTTATACTAGCTATAAAAAATGACATATGCAGTAATTCTCAGGCAATTTTACTTATTTTTCCATTTAAGATATGACAAAACATTACAAGAATAAGAAGAACCATGCATTTCTTTTTAAAAACTATGAAGATCTCTTCACTAGCATTTGGAAAGATATTACCTTGAATTTGTTCATAAAATTCACTAAGAACTTACTAACTTGTTGCATAATACTGTAGCTGTTTTTATTTAAAACAAGAATTCTCTAAGGAGATATTTTAAGTTCAAACTATGTGATAAAGACCATTGTCTGCAAATGTGGCCACTAATATCTAAAAATCTGGGAGGACTGTACTGAAAGTATTTTGTTTTGTACTTGCTTGTTTTATGATTATGTAAATATTATCTGACTGCTTATAAAAAGTCCTTATTAAAAGTAATTCTATATTTTAAGTAAGAAGTATACAAACACTATTCAGTATGAATCAGTTCTGGAAAACCAGATTGATTTAGACGCTATCTAGGTACCAAAATTGTAATCATAAAAAAAATAGAATAAATTTGGTTTTAATATTATTTTATCCAATTCTTCAACAAAATGAGCATTTTAAAACAGTTACTATTTGTAAGTAAATATTTTAACTAGTAAAAGTGAACACATATCCAGAAAAAAAATTGTCTTTGAAGTGTCAAATAAAAGTTTGTTGCTTTAATTAAGATTCTAATAAGCACCACAGCATTAGAACTAAAAGAACAAAAGACTGATAGATTCTCTAATCCACAATAATATGAGAGTTCCTGTAGGTCAAATTAGTCACAAAATGTATGGTAGACTAAGTTTACAGCCACCTGTGCCATAACCCGATACACAGGGGAAAACTGATGACTTTATTGTGGTTCTCATGACACTTTTCTAAAGCTCAGTTTTTGCTGGGAGTGGGGCGTAAGTCTCTGGGTGTGTGTGTGTGTGTGTGTGTGTGTGTGTGTGTGTACATGCTCACGTATCCAATAAACTTTTATTACAAATCACAATGTGTTTTAAATGCTTATTCCCTCCCCCCCCCCCCCCCCCCCCCAAAAAAAAAAAACCATCACAAAACTGCAAAATAACGTTGCAATTCTAAATTTTTACCTGTTTAGATAGTCTGTTTTCTTCTTCAATATATTTCTGTTCTTTGGGCATTAATGTTTGGATGCTGGCTTTCACCTAAACATCAGAATGTCACGATATTTAGGCACTGAAACATGTATCATTTAGAACCATTATCACAGCATTTCAAAATCGCAAGGCCAAGATTATAAGCTAGAACTATGAAGCGCAGAAGCTCATGCTTGTGTATATATTACAGCAGTAGCAGTGAAGTGATAAAGTGTGACTGTCTCAGGCAGTGACAGAAGAGTATTCTGCAGCATATATCAAAGTTTAGAGAAAATGAGGAATGACAGAAATTCTCTACAAATCAGGAACAAAAGCTTTCATGAAACCGAACTCTTTAGCAGTACAAAAAAGCCAAAGTTAAGACTTACAGCATTAAAAATCACATCCATTTCAAGATAGATGACCCCCTTTGTTGGCCCTGTCAGCTGCTTGTTTTTCAAAACGTAGGCTTTCTGTTCACCATTTTGAATCTGCAGGAAAAGGACATGACAGCCGTCTGTCTCACAGTCTCTACTGAATACACTCCCTCCATGACCTTTGACCCCCAGCTGCTGAAACTGACAGAGAACCCAAAACAACTGTGGCAATTCTGACAAGTACCTGTTCATTACCAGGACCAAGTCTGTCAGGAAAAATTAACTATCATGGGATTCAACATGGCCGTGAATTGAGTATGTTAAATTTTTTTCAGTATTCCTATTACAGACCTGGGTTGAGAAATGACAGCCTGTACTGATTGTTTCCATGAGCATAAAGAAATTCAGAGCAGATGACGACGGCAATGATTATAATAACAACAATAATAATATCAACTTACATACAATAATGGAATGACCACTTTGCCTAGGAAGTCCGCACTCCTATCACGATCTTCATCATAAACTGTCACTTCAAGAACTGAGTGGATATCTTTAATATTGCTATAAAGGGTGAGGCAGAAAGAGGTGCAAAGTCACTGAACTGGCTGCCAACAAAAATGCATCACTAAGTCCCAGGAAAATAGTACATGTATTTTTGAAAGTAAAGTATAAACCTGAAAAAGAGGGCTAAAAGAAGACCAATTTAAATAGGAATACAACTCAGGCATAATACTGAACATTTGGCAATTACATACTTCCCTGCTCTTATTGTGTCTACGGAATGTCTGGCAGCTGCACTATTTAGAGTGTCTCAGACCCTATTAGGCAAAGATGGGCCGGAAGAACCAATTAGTGTAAGTTGTGATCGTCTGGCTAAGCATTTCATGGATAAAATCACTTGCATTTGCTCTGAGTTGGAAGCCAGATGGATGGGATCTTTTGAAGTGATAGAGGTATCAACTTGTGGTGTTACCTAGTACGTTCCTGAGCTGCGTAAACTCAAGTTAATAGGGAAAGTTCTCTACAATATTAGTATATCTACTTGACACATCTGGCTAACCAAAACATCTAGAAAAGGAACTGGGAGTTGGACTCTGGCGGTCATCAATTCTTCTTTGGGGGAAGGGACTATTGAGCAGCTTGAAAGAAGTCCTAGCCTGCCCACGCCTTGAACAATGGCTGAGAAACCACCAATAGGGAACAGCTTTTCTTCTAACTCCAACCTCTCCTTTTTGGAAAGAATGTTAATAATGGAATTAAAATTTCAGAGAGCACTGAAGGACCATGGAATGAAAACCAGACTTGTGGTTGTGGATCACCTTTGGCAGGACTTCCTGCAAGAATTGACAGTTGGAGGCACTTAAATAACCACTCTTTTAAGACTATTGTGGACTCATGGTTACTGGAAGTTAACTTGTTTTAAATTAGACACCATTTATGCAGCATGAATCTTAATGTCAAAGCTGGGGCTTTGGGAAAAGAACATTCTGCAAAGCCTCCATATATATATGGCAAATCCCTAATCCTCTGCTAGTCCTTTCTCGTCCTCTATTTCTTTTCTCTTGGATAGGAAAAAAAAGTCTTTCATCTTACAAAGGAAAATTGGAAACATATATTTTCTGAGTTTTGAGGCTCTTGAAAATAAAGGCTTGCAACATAGCGCATAAGAAGAAAAAGAATCATATTGGGGGAATCACTTATAAAAACAAATGCTAGGAGTAATAAAAATAAAACTTATGGAAATATTTATGAGTATTTGTGAAGTAAAACAGAGCCAATTTACCACTGAGAAACAGAATGAAATTATCCAACTTTTAGATTCAATTAAAGTTTTTTAATGAAAACTTTATTCCCTCTGTTCTGAACAGGATTATAAGAGCAGGGAATCATTTTTAGTTGTTTTAGGTCTAGAGAATTGGGAGGGGGGAGAAAACTTCTATCAATCTCTGTTTATGGTGAGATATCTGGATTCAATATATTGAGAAAATTAGAAATATATACCATTTCCCTGAAAATAAGACATATTCAAAAAATAAGCCCTAGCACATTTTCCATGTAATAATATAAGCCCCACCCCTAAAATAAGTCCTACTTAAGAACCTGCTCTACTGGCCACCCACTCATTCCATCTAGTTGCTTGCAGGGGGGTGGATCTGCCCCAAACGTCCTGCACCAGCTTACCTTAGGGCACCCACAACCAGGTCATCAACACCCCAACACCTGCCTTGCAGTCATGTGCAGCCCACCTGATTGCCGGCCCACTTTTGTTTGCTCACAGCCGCAACAGAGCAGGAGGCTGAATTGTGTGCTGGTGCCATGGCTGTGAGGCAGGTGTCGGGGCATGGATGGCCTGGCTTCAGGTGCCCTGAGGTAGACCAGTGCGGGACATGTGGGGCAGCTCCAACCCCACCTCATGGTGGTGGCATTGCCTCACTACACGGCCTTCTGCCCCACCGTGAATCAGAAGAAGTGGGCCTCCCGTACATGGGGAAAAAATAAGACACCCCCCAAAATAAGCCTTAGTGCTTATTTTGGGGCCCAAAAGAAACACACGTGTGTATACATGCATCTGTGTGTGTGTGTGTGTGTGTACACAAATAATTGTTAAACTATATATTGAGGACATAATCATTTTAATATATTTTAATATATCATTTCAATATATTACTGTGTTTATATAATATATTGTATATGTTACATAATACACATGCATTAATAAATATATTTATCTGTCCATAACTAATATTTTATTTAAAATCTCAAGGTGGATTATAATATGATTAAAATTTAAAATATGTTAGAGTAGTACTAAAATAATGCTGAATCAAAAACTGGGGAAAAGGAGAACAAACCACAAATTAGAGGTGAAGGCTTGCATGAAAAGGAAATAGAAGATGTAATGGCAGACACTTCACAAATGTTAAGGTAGAACATTTCAGAGTGCAGGAATATTACAGAAAACATGTAAAATGTCACTCCTGCTTCCCATATAATGATCTATCTTAACAATCTTAAGTTTGAACTGGTTCCACATTCTACATGAGCAGAATCTGAATTTGGTTTATTAGCTAATAGCTGATTCAATTGCTTTAACAACATATAATATGAACATGGCCAGGTGTCTTGCTTAGCAACTTGTTCCCAGCAATTTTCACCAAATGAGATATTTTCTATAAATGCAAGGGTAGCCCCACACTGACTGCATCATGTAATCCAAATGTAAGGGTTACCATACTGTATGTGAACAATTGTAGCTAGGTTGCCATTGGCTAAGCCTTGTGAGACAGAGCATAACCAACTAAACCTATTTTACTTTACTGAAAAGTTACATGAACAGAATTTTGCAAATCTAAGAGTACATGTCTGATCATGAGCAGATATTCACTGTAACACTATAGCACTTCTAATCATGTTCAGACTATCTCTCAACCTGACTGATTAAAGGTATGGTTGATGGTATCCATCCATTAAGATTGAAATAAAGCTATGACTGTTACAGAGGCCCTGAAGTTGCCCCCATTCTCCCAAAAAAGCTTGGTATGAATGTTGGACTTGTACGACTAGAAACTAGATCATATAATGTTCTTATGCTAGCCCTTTGGGGTTTTTGGTTTCAACAAGAACAACAGAAAATAAAGCTTCTAACCAGAAATGTTCAGTGGATTATTAAACTGTAAAGAACATGAAACGGACCTGTCTTTTTTGTAATATAATTAGGAGAAATTACAATAAGATGATTCTTCAAATTCAAAAAAAATAATAATCAAATATTTCCATTGGTAAACTTGCAAGATATGCTCCAATTCTCTATAACCTAAAAGAAGGTGTGCCAAACAGAACTTTTTATCTACCAAATTATTTCCAATACATCAGATTTCTTATATTAAAATATTACAAAGCTTTTTTACGTTCCTTCTTATAGCTAACTGACTTTTATTAAATGAAGAATCACAATAACTGGTTAGAAAGTACTGTGCCACGAATGTCCAATTCAGCCTAGTATTTTGACCTCTCTGATTTATCTCTAAGCTTTGGCTGTCCTTTAAAACAGGAATGGGCATGTCTTAGGTGTTAAACTTTCTTAGCCTCCTGATCTTTAAAGGGATTGAAGAAGAGTGTTTGGTGGTATCACTTGAAAAGTATTTTGGGGGAGATGGTTTAGAATTGGATTAGGAAAAGCTTTGGTTTCCTAAGTTGCTTAGGAAAGTTTAGCGAAGCAACTTCTGATATTTCTCTAAGCCATGCACTGAATTTTAGAGGGTATTGGGGATTAGGGGTGCACAAATTGTTAGTCTAAAGTGCTGAACAAGATCAATCCATGTGCTGTACTAATCCCAAGTCAATTCCTAACAAAAAAGCAATACAAAGAAACATAGTGCCTCTTTTGTTTATTTATTATAGCTTGTTTGCTGCTCAATTCCAAATAGCTCTGAGCTACTTACATCAAGTAACAAAAACACTAAAATAGAATAACCATAATCAAAGCAACACTATTTCCTAATAGTACTACCCAGTGAGTGCATGTCAAACCTCACTATTCCCAAAGGCTTTCTGTGACAGCCATGCCTTTTGAAGCTCTCTGGAAGCCCCCAAAACAGTGGTTGGTTTGGATATCCAGGGGCAAGCTCCTATGATTTTTAGATTCTAGATTTTAAAATCCTAAATAAGTAAACATAAGTATATCACACTTACTGAATAGAATTCAATTCAATTCAATTCCCAGATTCAATTTTTGATACCACCAAGAATTATGGTAATTTTGAACAGTCACTAAATGAACTGTTATAAGACTACCTATATGATGTAAGGTATGATGTAAGGTTTTTTTAAACTTTTTTTTAAAATTTCCAATGTACACGATCTCTATTCCAGGATCTTAGCAGCAACACATTTGATTACATTTGCCACTTTAAGTTTTAAAATGTTTTGGAACTATCATATGAAGTCCACAGTCATACTGAAGATCACCAAAAGATGAAAATAGATTACCAAAAGACAAAAAAACCATTTGCTTATAGATATTTCACTATCTTATCTGTCTTTCCAAAGATGTTTATTTGCTGTACTTATGAAATTAGAGCAATTTAGTTCTGAGAATTTTGAAAACCACAATCAAACTTTGAAATGAAATTTTAAGAAGTATGGTGAGACTTACAAAGTGAAGATTTTGTTCCACTCAGGATTTAGGTTCTTATATATTGTGTGGGTCAACAATCTATCATTGTTCAATTCAATTACACAAAATGGATCACTTTTACCTGCAAAAAAGATAATTTCAGAGACAATCATGAATTTGCAACTTAAAATTATCTTGGCATTTTTTACAATTAACAATTCATACTCTAAAAACAAAATAATCATAGTAATGTTGTGTGATAAACTATAAAAGTATTGCAGTGCAATTCTCTGGATTAAAGGCAAAAATGGTGGGGTATGAATATTAGTTTATGATTAAACATGCCTTTGCACAGAACTACATGAGAGATAGTTAGGTGATACTGCAAAAAGTGTTGCAGACAACAATTTTCATGCCTTAGCACTATTTTGCCTTCCAATTTTAAAGACCACACAGCCCTAATATGTAGCACATTTTATTATATGAACATGTTAAATATATTCTTATGTGTAAAACTTAGAAGGCTACAAACTAATAGATTTACAAGCAAGATTTAACATAATGGCACTTCCACATATTACATAGTTCAGATTTAAACATTTAGGTTTAATTTTAATTTAAGGATGATATACTAAGAAAAAGATCTACGGTATCATTTAATTTTTAAAATTTCTTGAAGATTATTCTATGTCATAAACGTTATCTAATGTTTGCCTACATTTGTAGCACTATTTAGATTAAAAAATATTGCCAAGTCTAATATTTCAGAGAGAATCTTACTGAACTTTTCAGGACATTTATTTTATTTTATTTATATATTTTGTAAAGCATGTATTAGATAACAAATATAATTAGAATATTATTATGATTACATGAAATAGGTAGAAGTAAAAGGGAGACATTAGGACAGGGACGGCAGGCACATTGGTGTGCTTATGCACACCCCTTATTATTATTATATTGCAACTAATGTGTGATAGCAAAATTTCACCACTTTGATACACTACATTTATATGATAAGACAATGAATTTGACTCAGGACTATTTACAATAATCAGTATAATCTTTCAAATAATCTATGTCCTGATAAGGCTATTTTATTAAATGAAAATTAACTGCAACAAAAGCAGAAGAGAAATGGAGTAGCAAATGTTTCCCACTAATTAGACTGATATTGCCCAAGATAGTTCCTAGGGCAAAGTATAGTACACTGGGCAACTATTTTTCTTAAAAATATTCTGTAATGAAACATCACAAATTTAGGGCATCAAAGAAACCACATTCAATAGTAATTTGTAATTTGTTTCATACTTTAGACAATCATTATGTAGATAAAACTATTAATAAATTAATGATTTTCCATATTACAGCACTGATTTAGATTCACCACAGGTTAATGTACATATTAACTTTAATGGCATGGTATAATTCAGAGGTGGTATTCAGCAGATTCTGACCAGTTCTGGAGAACCAGTAGCGGAAATTTTGAATAGTTCGGAGAACCGGCAAATACCACCTCTGACTTGCCCCGCCCCATCTATTCTCTGCCTCCCAAGTCCCAGCTGATTGGCTGGGTCTTCTTTGGTTGCTCTGCACAGGAGAACGGAGCTGGAAAGCAGTGGGGTAGGGAGGGAATGGGATTTTGCAGTATCTTTCCCCTGCCACACCCACCAAGCCACACCCACAGAACTGGTAGTAAAAAAATTTGAATTCCATCACTGGTATAATTGCTATAAGTATGTTGAATTAATGCATATTTTTTTCAGGGGTGTGTGTGTTCCTTCTGGAAAGGTGTCTGAAGTTTTCTTGGCAAGATTTCATAAGTGATTTGCCATTGCATGTTTCCTAGGGCTAAAAGGCAGTGACTGGTCCAAAGTCACTCAGTGACTGACCTTGGCTTAATGCAGGATTAGAACCTATAGTCTCCTGGCTTCTAGCTTGTCACCTAGCATTTACACCAAACTGATTCTCAAAACATAATTTCTTTATATAATTTTGTATTAAGCATAAATCAATAATCTTTCCCCATTTACACTTGTGAGATAAATCTGTGTGTTGGTTTAAACATACAAAGCATAGTTTTCTTCTTGCCTTTATCATAGATTTCCATTTTTAGTATTATTTTTAACTGTACCCTGTACTTTGAATTAATTCAGATATAAATAATTCTCCAGAATTTATCTTTCAAAACACCCTGGATCTTGACTTGTATTGAGAATTCACCTCTAGTACCAACACCTTTTGAATAAAAATTACTTTCTTTTTTAAAAAGCAAGAATGTTTCAAACAAATGTTCAATACAACACAAACATATATTTCCAAACAAGTATTAATATACAGTTAAAACAAAATCAATACAGTTTGCTTCATTACTTCATTTTTAAAAGAAAATAACATTAAATTTTTGAAGTAGCATTGGATTTGCACGTTTAATAATATTACATTTAATTTGTCCTGAAAACTTTTTGGACTATCTATGAATAGAAAAGCAAAGTATAAACTTAAATAAATGCAAAGGCCACATTCTGCCACTGAACTATCTTAAAGTTTCTGTTTTGCAAGGTATTCCCATATAGTTACAATATATGGTTCCTTTTCCCATCATCCTATTGCAAAATTGGTTATTAAATATCCAGACCTGGATTCTTTTTAAGCAACAAGATACAATTCGGCCAATTTGCTCCTTTTTCAAAGTCTACACACCAGATAATATCAACTAGAATTACTGCAAGTGCTGTTATTTCCAGAGGTAATAGTCAGCTACCATCGTTTTCCATATCATTTAAAGAAAAACCATCTAGATATTTCACTAATAAATTTCAATTGGATATTCCTTAGTCTGATACCCATAGTTTTAGTTTCTTAATCTAAACTGTTTTGCATAAGCAACTAAATACTGTATGATCAGATCTTAAAATAGCAAGCAAATGCATATAATTTAAATAGATGAATAAATTCAGTAGTTTTTTTCATTTTTAAATATCACTTGACTGTAGGTGTGCTGAAGGGAAAACACCAGTTTCCTTGCCAGTGCTGTCACAGTGGGCTTACATTAGCAACCCTCAAAATCCAAAATATTTATTTATTTTATTCATTTATTTATTTTTATTTGTCAATTGCTTACAAGATAATAAATATAAGTAAAAACATAGTTATGAATATATGGATACATATAAGAAAAATAAAAATAAAACAAACAATAGGACAGGGACGGTAGGCACGTTGGTGCACTTATGCACGCCCCCTGCAGACCTCTTAGGAAAGGGGTAAAGTCAATAGTAGACAGTCTGAGGTTAAAGTTTTTGGGGTTTGGGGAAGAAACTACAGTCAGGTAGAATATTCCAGACACTGACCACTCTGTTGCTGAAGTCGTATTTCCTGCAATCAAGTTTGGTGTGATTAACCTTGAGTTTGTAACCTTGAGTTTGAATCTATTGTTTGCTCTTGTGTTGTTATGGTTGAAGCTGAAGTATCCACTGACAGGTACGACATTGCAATGTATGATTTTATATACCATACTTAGATCGGTCCGAAGGCAGAGTAGTTGTAAGTTTTCTAGTCTGGTGGCATAAGGTATTCTACAACGAGTAGAGGAGTGGAGAACTCTTCTTGTGAAATATTTCTGGACTTTCTCAACTGTGTTAATATCAGATACGTAATGTGGGTTCCAGACTGATGAGCTGTATTCGAGTATTGGTCTAGCAAATGTTTTGTATGCTCTAGTTAGTAGTGTGATATTACCAGAGAAAAAGCTACGTAAGATTAGGTTAACAACTCTTAATGCCTTTTTGGCTATGTAGTTACAGTGGGCTCTAGCACTTAGATCATTTGAGATGAGTACTCCAAGATCCTTGACAAAGTTTGGATCATCAACAAGGTCTTGACTATTCAGCCTGTATTTTATTTTCTGATTTTTTTTTTGCCAATATGTAGGAGAGAGCATTTATTTGTTGAGATTTGAAGTTGCCATTTGTATGACCATTCTGATATAAGCAAATCAATTCAGCTTCCAAATATTACTAATACTACAGTATAATTGAGAGATACATGACAGATGTTTCAATAAAAAGGCACAAGTACAACACAAAGAATACCTGTTTTCCTAGCCGTTTTCATGAGAATAATTTCACACCTCATCTATGCTTTGGAAACAAGAGGGAAAGTCATAATTCCAACAAACCTATCCAAACAACATGATTATTAGGGTGAAATTAAATTGTTATCTGACAAACCTGGGTTTGTTTTGCAGCTTATTTGATTAGGCTATAGTTTGAAACACCACCCTCCCTACTCCCTCTCTGATTAAGCATGCTGTACAAATAGGGTTTTCATCAATGATAAGATCTGGCCCACCGTTCACATTCCTTTCATAGGGATCTCAGCCAAATCCTTTCCCTTCCTATATTTGAACAGATTTTGAAATTGTATTTAATTGGTAGGAATTTTTATGAATGGTTTCCTGGCAAATGTATCTGTTATTTCTCCAGCTTGGTGTGTCCAAACATTAGCTAATAAACATTGTTTTTACTGGATATTTTACCTTTCTGGAAATTGCCTTGAACAATGTAGGCAAAACACTTCTCTACAATCCTGTAATCCCTTAATTTGGGATAAAGTCAGGGTGGCTGGATAGGGCTGAGTGTTTACTGGCTGGATCTCCTTGAAAAAGGAAGAGTGCATGACAGAACTCAGAATGATCAAGCAGAATTGTTTGATCTGATAATCAGCCTGGTTGATCAAAGGAATGGAACTGCGCTGGAAAGGATTGACCACAAACAACTGCATGGAGAAGCCTGATCAACACCCTAGCTTCCTAAGAGGCTCAGGAAAGAAATATTTTCCTCTTTCTCTCCTCTTCTCAAAGCTAAGGGTAAGAGGAAAAGAACTGCCCAGCTACCTAAAGGAGTTAACATAACAAAGCAGTGACAATTGGAACTACTGCAGAATTGCAAGAAGCCCTCTATATACATCATATTATTTTATGCATAACACTGTATTTTAGAAATATAAGCAGAAATTAGTCAGTTTATTTGTACCATAAGAATAAAAGTCACTCTGATTGAGAGAAGTACAGTGGCTCTTTCTGCATGTGGTAATTCCTCTTTTTCACCTTCTGACAGAGCTGGAAGCCAAGGACACAAT